CGGCTGACCAAATGCATTGGTTTTGTTTGTGTTTGTGTGTTTTCGCTTGTCCGTCGGCTGCGCTGGTCGCCCCAAGCCCGCCCGCCGCCGTTCGGTCGCTCGGCCCCTCGGCTGGCCCAATTCAATGGTTTTGTTTGTTTTTGTTTGTTTTCGCTTGTCCGTCGGCTGCGCTGGTCGCCCCGCGCGCCCGCCGCCTTTCGGTCGCTCGGCCCCTCGGCTGGCCCCATTCCTTGGTTTTGTTTGTTTTTGTTTGTTTTCGCTTGTCCGTCGGCTGCACTGGTCGCCCCAGGCTCGCCCGCCGCCCCGCGGTCGCTCGGCCCCTCGGCTGGCCGAATGCATTGGTTTTCTTTGTTTTTGTTTGTTTTCGCTTGTCCGTCGGCTGCGCTAGTCGCCCCAGGCCCGCCCGCCGCCCCGCGGTCGCTCGGCCCCTCGGCTGGCCCAATTCACTGGTTTTGTTTGTTTTTGTTTGTTTTCGCTTGTCCGTCGGCTGCGCTGGTCGCCCTGCGCGCGCCCGCCGCCTTTCGGTCGCCCGGCCCCTCGGCTGCCCCCATTCCCTGGCTTTCTTTGTTTCTGTTTGTTTTCGCTTGTCCGTCGGCTGCACCGGTCGCCCCAAGCTCGCCCGCCGCCCCGCGGTCGCTCGGCACCTCGGCTGGCCAAATGCATTGGTTTTGTTTGTTTTTGTTTGTTTTTGCTTGTCCGTCGGCTGCGCTGGTCGCCCCAGGCCCGCCCGCCGCCGTTCGGTCGATCGGTCTCTCGAAATGCGCGGGGTGGAGGCATGCGGGCCCTGCCACTGCGGCCTTCGGTGGCGCCCCCTTATGGGGCCGCGAAACGTGCGAGGGGGCGCGCCGAACTGGGTGGGAACAAACGCAAAAAATCAAAAACAAAGAATTGGGCCAGCCGAACAGGTCGAGCGACCGCGGGGCGGCGGGCGAACCTGAGGCGACCAGTGCAGCCGACGGACAAACGAAAACAAACAAAAACAAACAAACCCAAATAATTGGGCCAGCCGAGGGGCGGAGCGACCGAAAAGCGGCGGGCGGGCCTGGGGCGACCGAGGGGCCGAGCGACCGCGGGGCGGCGGGCGGGCCTGGGGCGACCAGTGCAGCCGACGGACGAGCGAAAACAAACAGAAACAAACAAACCCAATGAATTTGGCGATCCGAGGGGCCGGAGGAGCGAAAACAAACAAAAACAAAGAAACAATTGAATGGGGCCAGCCGAGGGGCAGAGCGACCGAAAGGCGGCGGGCGAGCCTGAGGCGACCAGTGCAACCGACGGACAAGCGGAAACAAACAAAAAAACAACGAAACCAAAGAATTGGGCCAGCCGAGGTGCCGAGCGAGCGAAAAGCGGCGGGCGTGCGCAGGGCGACCAGTGCAGCCGACGGACAAACGAAAACAAACAAAACAAAGAAAACAATCGAATCTGGCCAGCCGAAGGGCCGAGCGACCGCGGGGCGGCGGGCGAGCCCGGGGCGACCAGTGCAGCCGACGGACAAGCGAAAACAAACAAAAACAAACAAACCCAATGAATTGGGCGATCCGAAGGGCCGAGCGCGCGAAAAGTGGCGGGAGAGCCTGGGGCGACCAGTGCAGTTGACGGAGGAGCGAAAACAAACAAAAACAAACAAGACCAAATCATGGGGCCAGCCGAGAGACCGAGCGACCGCGGGGCGGCGGGCGAGCCCGGGGCGACCAGTGCAGCCGACGGACAAGCGAAAACAAACAAAAACAAACAAAACCATGGATGGGGCCCGCCGAAGGGCCGAGCTGCCGCGGGGCGGCGGGCGAGCCTGGGGCGACCAGTGCAGCCGACGGACAAGCGAAAACAATCAAAAACAAACAAAACCAAACAATTTCGCAAGCCGAGGGGCCGAGCGACCGCGGGGCGGCGGGCGGGCCTGGGGCGACCTGTGCAGCCGACGGACAAGCGAAAACAAACGAAAACGAACAAAACCAAATAATTGGGCCAACCGAGGGGCCGAGCGACCGCGGGGCGGCCTGGGGCGACTAGTGCAGCCGACGGACAAACGAAAACAAACACAAACAAACAAAACCAACGCATTTGGCCAGCCGAGGGGCCGAGCGACAGCAGGGCGGCGGGCGAGCCTGGGGCGACCAGCGCAGCCGACGGACAAGCGAAACCAATCGAAACGAATCAACAAAAAGAAATCTACCAGCCGAAAGGCCGAGCGACCGCAGGGCGGCGGGCGAGCCTGAGGCGACCAGTGCAGCCGACGGACAAACCAAAACAAACAAAAACCAAATAATTAGGCCAGCCGAGGGCGACCGCGGGCGAGCCTGTGGCGACCAGTGCAGCCGACGGACAAACGAAAACAATCAACCACAAACAAAACGAAGGAATGGGGCCAGCCGGAAGGTAGAGCGCGACCGCTGGGCGGCGGGCGAGCCCGGGGCGACCATTGCAGCCGACGGGCAAGCGAAAACAAACAAAAAACAAACGAAACCAAGGAATGGGGCCAGCCGAGGGGGCGAGCGACCGAAAAGCGGCGGGCGAGCCTGGGGCGACCAGTGCAGCCGACGGGCAAGCGAAAACAAACAAAAAACAAACAAAACCAAGGAATGGGGCCAGCCGAGGGGGCGAGCGACCGAAAAGCGGCGGGGGAGCCTGGGGCGACCAGCGCAGCCGACGGACAAGCGAAAACAAACAAAAACGAAGAAAACAATTGAATGGGGCCAGCCGAGGGGCAGAGCGACCGAAATGCGGCGGGCGAGCCTGGGGCCACCAGTGCAACCGACGGACAAACGAAAACACACCAAAACAAACAACACCACGGAAATAAGCCAGCCGAGGGGCCGAGCGACCGAAAAGCCGCGGGCGAGCCTGGAGCGACCAGTGCAGCCGACGAACTAGCGAAAACAAACAAACACAAACAAAACCAAGCATTTGGCCAGCCGAGGGGCAGGGCTGAGCGACCGCTAGGCGGCGGGCGAGCCTGAGGCGACCAGCGCAACCGACGGACAAGCGAACACAAACAAAAAACAAACGAAACCAAGGAATGGGGCCAGCCGAGGTGCCGAGCGACCGAAAAGCGGCGGGTGTGCGCAGGGCGACCAGTGCAGCCGACGGACAAGCGAAAACAAACAAAAACAAAGAAAACCAACGAATCTGGCAAGCCGAGGGGCCGAGCGACCGCGGGGCGGCGGGCGAGCCTGGGGCGACCAGTGCAGCCGACGGACAAGCGAAAACAAACAAAAACAAACAAAACCAACGAATTGCGCCAGCCGAAGGGCCGAACGACCGAAAGGCGGCGGGCGACCCCGGGGCGACCAGTGCAGCCGACGGACAAACGAAAACAAACAAAAACAGACAAAACCAAATAATGGGGCCAGCCGAGAGGCCGAGCGACCGCGGGGCGGCGGGCGAGCAGCCGACGGACAAGCGAAAACAAACGAAAACAAACACAACCAAATAATTGGGCCAACCGAGGGGCCGAGCGACCGCGGGGCGGCGGGCGAGCCTGCGGCGACCAGTGCAGCCGACGGACAAGCGAAAACAAACGAAACGAACAAACACAAAGAAATCGACCAGCCGAGAGGCCGAGCGACCGCGGGGCGGCGGGCGAGCCTCAGGCGACCAGTGCAGCCGACGGACAAACCAAAACAAACAAAAGCAAACAAAACCAAATAATTGGACCAGCCGCGGGGCCGAGCGACCGCGGGGCGGCGGGCGAGCCTGCGGCGACCAGTGCAGCCGACGGACAAGCGAAAACAATCAAACACAAACAAAACAAAGGAATGGGGCCAGCCGAAAGGCAGAGCGACCGCTGGGCGGCGGGCGAGCCCGGGGCGACCATTGCAGCCGACGGGCAAGCGAAAACAAACAAAAAACACAAAAAAAAGCCAAGGAATGGGGCCAGCCGAGGGGCCGAGCGACCGAAAGGCGGCGGGCGAGCCTGGGGCGACCAGTGCAGCCGACGGACAAGCGAACACAAACAAAAACAAACAAAACCAAGGAATGGGGCCAGCCGAAGGGCCGAGCGACCGCGGGGCGGCGGGCGAGCCTGAGGCGACCAGTGCAGCCGACGGACAAGCGAAAACAAACAGAAGCAATGAGCCAGCCGAGGGGCCGAGCGACCGAGACGCGGCGGGAGAGCCTGGGGCGACCAGTACAGCCGACGGACAAGCGAAAACAAACAAAAACAAACAAAACCAAGGAACGGGGACAGCCGAGGGGCCGAGCGACCGCGGGGCGGCGGGCGAGCCTGGGGCGACCAGTGCAGCCGACGGACAAGCGAAAACGAACAAAAACAAACAAATCCAAGGAATGGGACCAGCCGAGGGGCCGAGTGACCGCGGGGCGGCGGGCGAGTCTGAGGTGACCAATGCAGCCGACGGACAAGCGAAAACAAACAAAAACAACCAAAACCAAGGAATGGGGCAAGCCGAGGGGGCGAGCGACCGCGGGGAGGTGGGCGCGCCTGGGGCGACCAGTGCAGCCGACGGACAAGCGAAAAAAAAACAAAAACAAACAAAACCATTGCATGGGGCCAGCCGAGGGGCCGAGCGACCGCGGGGCGGCGGGCGAGCCTGGGGCGACCAGTGCAGCCGACGGACAAGCGAAAACAAACGAAACGAACAAACACAAAGAAATCGTCCAGCCGGGAGGCCGAGCGACCGCGGGGCGGCGGGCGAGCCTGAGGCGACCAGTGCAGCCGACGGGCAAGCGAAAACAAACAGAAGCAAACAAAACCAAGGAATTGGGCCAGGCAGAGCGACCGCGGGGCGGCGGGCGACACTGGGGCGACCAGTGCAGCCGACGGACAAGCGAAAACAAACAAAACAATCAAAACCAAGGAATGGGGCCAGCCGAGGGGCCGAGCGACCAGCGTCGCCCGGGGAAGTGACAACCAAACCCTAGAAGTAGATTAGGTTTGCGCCCGCCCCCGAAAACAGCCCCAAAAAGCAAATTCTTGAAATAGGAAGGGGCTTAAAGTAGATTGGGATCTGGGAATCCAAAATTACCTACTTTCAACGACCGGTGGGTACAGGAAAAGGTCGCAACACGACTAACCATCTGCGGTCGTGCTCCGGAGAGACTCACAGTGGTCGATGGGTGTTCCCAAAACGACCTGGGGGGGCTACTCACATCGTCCCGTCGCCGTGCAAGCGACGATCGATAGGCGTCTAGGTCGCGGTCGGTGGGAACATACACACACATACAGTGATGGACGATGGGAACTGATTAACGATCAACTTGTAAAGCATGGAGCGCTGCTGGCTGCGTCTACAATGAACATGGAAAATTGCTAGAAGATTTGCTGAGGAAGCACCACTGCCTTTCTCCTTGGAATTCGCAAAAGGCGTGAAACATGTGCGCTCCCGCACAGTCGAACTGGGCAGACAATTCGATTATGTACATGTGCATTGGCTTAACCGCTTTCGCAAACAACAACAAATGAAAGGGTAGACCTTCGAGCGCGGCAAACGTTGTACCGTACCCAGGATTCGCCGACACAGGAAACGCTCCGCAATACTCAAGAAAGAGCCAACCGTACCTAACCGAGAAAAGGAATCGCTGTAGCGTGGAATGCGCGGATAGCCGCAACTCCCGTCACTCTCCGACTCGTCTCCCGCCGCCATCCTGTCCTCCTCCTCCTCCTCCTCCTCCTCCTCCGCCTCCTTGTCCTCGGCCTTCGTCCCTGCCTGACTCTGTTCTCTCGGAGAACCACGCCTCCACTCCGAGGGAAGTGCGCTTCCACTCCAGGGGAAGTTCACTTCTTCCCCTCCGACGGGAGCGCACCTCCTCGCCAAGGAAAGCGCACCTCCCTTCCGAGAGAAGAGCACTCCCCCTTCATGGCGACGCGAGCCCCTGAAGGTCTGGGGGGGCAAAACCTAGCGAAAGGGGGCTCAGACACCCTTGCGGGTTCGTGTGTCACCATGGTTGGTTTGTGGTCGCCCCGTCGCCACCCTGTCGCCGTCCGTCGCCGCCTTGTCGCTGGTTCGTGTGCCGGCCCATGTGGCTGGTGGTCGCCCCGTCACCGCCCCGTCGCCGCCTATTGCCGCCCGTCGCCGCCTCGTCGCCGCCCGTCGTCGCCGTTTCGTCGCCGCTTGGCATTGCAATCTCGGGTCGGGCGAAAAGGGGGGATAGCAAAGGGGGGGTTTGAGAATCAGCTCACGTAGCTGATTTTCCCAGCGCCCCCCGGCGCTGGAAGGCGGCTATGTATCGAGGAATGGGCCCCTCGGTGGGGCCGAAACCAGCTGCATGCAGCAGATTTCGTAGCCCCCCCTTTCCCAATCCCCCCTTTCGTCCAGCCCGACAATCGCATTGCGCCGCGCTGCAATCGCATTGCGCTGCGCTACAATAGCACCACGCAGATTACACCACATCGAATCCACCACATGGATTGCACTACGTGGCGCACATCCCATAAAGCGGACAACGTAGATTGCACCACGTGTTCAACACTGCGTCGTTGACACCATTCACACCACCTAGATGAGCACGCCGGCTTTACAGTCTTCACCGCATAGCGAACCTCAAATAGCTCACACCACACACGCGCACACACACACACACATCGCATTGCAAATATAACAACACCATTTGGATGGCACTACGCAAGTAGCGCCACAAATATCGCCCCGAACCCATCGTTTTTACTGTCTGTTTTCACGACACGGATCACCCGCCCCGGACTGATCAGGCCGGCCTGGGGATGTGCAGTGTACATACGATTGCGGCCGATCGTTCTTTTCGAATGTGGTGTCGTACCATTTTACCCAGGCCGACATCGACCATACACCCCTCATCATCGTCAAATAACACTGTTCGCCCAAATTCGTTTATCACACACCACCACTGTTCAAGAAACCTTTGCACTACAGCGGACAACATCCTCGCGCGCGTCGTCGAGCGCATGCCGGAATCTTCGAAAACAACAGCAATGTTCGCGTAAAGGATTCACAACCGATAGTACCGCGCACGCATGTCGAAATCATTCGGGCCTCCTTCCGCGCGTGCTGGAGAAGGGCACGATCCCTGTCAGACAATGTCATGCAGGCTACTCGCGCGCGTCGGCCACGGGCGCATGTTGAAATTCTTCGGATATTTCCATCAACGACACGCTGACACCATCATCGTCACCGGCGTGATCAACATCGGCACCGTCATTGACCATGCCGTCGTCATCGCTGTCATCGTCACCAGCACCACTACTACCATTATCTCGTCTGCCGTTGTCGTCGACATGGCACCGCGCCCGCCCGAATCACCGACTCGCGTTGAAATGCCTGCGCGTAAGTCCAAACTGCGAGGCGCGCTGGGAAGTCTCTAGCGGTCAACACATCGCGGCCGCGTCTGTCGCGCCACACTAGCTAGCCGCTCTGCGCGCGAGCCTGCGTGCGCTAGCGCGCCCGCAGCGATGCGCCAGCCAGCGCCAAGAAATTCTCTCAATCGCCGCCGCATGGGTTTTACAAACCATGGCGCAGTTGGGTGGGTGGAATAATTGCGCGAGCAGGGTTGAGAACTTCCAGTTCGACAAGGCGAATCGCACCACGTAGATTGCACCACACTGTTTGCACCACCTAGTTTTGAGCACATAACTTGCGCCACACAGCCGCAGCTTGCATCCCACAGCTTCCCCCACGTATGTTGCATAACCTAGCATGCTAGAGGTTACTGTTTGAGTTCCACGCTTGCTACCATTATGACTTCGCCACGCTGCAACGAACGGGGCGAACGCAATTACCTATACTTCTGCTATACACTTCACGCCAGGACGCCTCAACGGCGGAAATAGATACGGCTCCACTCCACTGGCTTTTTGTTAACACTAAAGGGGGCAATAACTTACTGTTCCACGCCAACCGTCGCATGGGGGGAGGAAGAAACGAATACGAGCATACTCCTACTCGTCCCGTGGCAACGATGGATGGTGGCAAGGACAGAGCTATTCTACCCGACCTCGAGTGGCAATACTTGGGGGCATGCAACATACTACGTATTCTCCGAGTCGCCCCTGCGCGCCTCCAGGGCACCGCCCGTTATCATGTTCTGGCGTTGTTACCCACACCTCTCCGTGCAGCTGGCCCGCCTATAGTCGCCTGTAGCTCGCCGCTTAGGGCATCCGCGGGAAAGAAACGCCGGTGAAACTGCAAACCCTAGTGCGGCAACCGCTGGGGGTAGCGATATGAGCCTGATTGAGCGCATGACGCACGCGCGACCCTTCGACCCGTTTGAGCCAGGCTCGCTGGGCTCTGCTCTACAAGGTCTCTGTCCAGAGGCACAACTTTACCCACATCACTGATCCGCCACCGTGCTTGCACGATTGTGGTGTGAGACATCGACTGTTTGTTAGCTGCGTGGTGAGATCCCAGTGGTTTTCCAAAGCGCGCCATCCCACCTCGTCGCACGCTGCTTCCAAAAATCACACCAGCCCGAGACAGCCCAGATTCAGCCCCCCAGAAATCGTTGGGGCTCAGCATGCCTCGGAATTGACGGGTTTGGGGGTCAGCTCGCCTCGGGAAAAATTCAGACCTCATGACAGCCCCCAGACTGCCAAAGACAGCCCCAAGATGCCCAAAACACACACCCAAGTGCCCAAGAAGGCCCGTTGACGGCCTCAAAACTAGCCCAGAAGATCTTACGAGCCTCCTCAGGAGAAATCGGTAGAAACATCCCGCACACGGCGGCCCCGGGAACCCCGACGGACTCCCAGACATCCGACGGCAGGCCCCTACGAAGCCTCAAAAACGGCCCTACGAAAGCTCAAAGGGGCCATGCAGAATCCCCCCCCAAAAGAAGGGGGACTGGGGGAGGAACGGGGAGGAGGAGGAGGAGGAGGAGGAGGAGGAGGAGGAAGAGCTTGGGTGCGGACAAGGCATGGGTATTTCAGACCCGTGCCGATTCAGACAGAACGCTAGAAGTGGAGCGGGTCTAAAACTCAACTTCTTCCCTGCTGCTATAGTGCCCTGGCACTGTGGCGGGGTTGACCGCAGGCAACTGTAAAGATGAACGTGTAGACTGGATCCCCACTCGCAGTCTCGGGCTGGGCGGCGTCCGAGACCGTACCGATGTGCTGCGGTCTCAACGCAGCGGCCTCCTCTTGCTCCTCCCCATTCAGCGTGATCAAAGGCTGGAACAAACTCGCAGTGCCGCTTAGTGGTTTTCTCCCCGGCGCCTGGACTGGAGCTTGCAAGGACCAGGGCCCAGAAGTCCCGAAGGCCGTGGGCTTGGAAATCTGATCGAGCACGTCCACGATGCGCGAAGCAGATTCGGCCGCTTGCAGCCTCGCCGCGGCTGAGAAGAGAGGGTCGGGCAAGCCAGGCATGCAGGGCAGTTCGTCGTCCTCCTCATGGGCCTTTGCGCTGCCCGCTTCTGCGCTGCCCGCTTCTGCGCCGCCCGCATCCACGACTCGAACTGGGTTGTCGGCCGCTTGCAGCCTCGCCTCTCCTGACACGGGAGCGTCTGGCAAACCAGGCGTGCGAATCAGCTCGTCATCCTCCTCTTCCTTCTCCTGCTCCGCATGCGCCTTTCCGCTGAACGCTGCTTCAACTACAGCGCTGCCTGCATCCACGACTCGAAAAGGGTTGTCGGACCCTTGCAGCTTCCCCGCGGCCGAGAGTTGAGGGTTGGGAAAACCAGGCGTGCGAAGCAGCTTGTCCTCCTCCTCCTCCTCTTCATGGGTCTTTGCGCTTGCCACTCCAGCGGGGCCTGCTTCAGCGCTGCTCGCAGCCAAGTCTCGAAAGTGGTTGTCGGCCCCTTGCAGCATCGCCGCGGCCGAGATGGAAGGGTCTGGCACACCGGGCGTGCGGACCAGCTCACCCTCCTCCTCCTCCTCCTCCTCCTTCTTCCCGCCCTCCAGTGCCTTGGCGCTGCCCGCTTCGGCGCTATCTGCTCCAGCTACAGCGCTGCCCGCGGCCCCAACTCGAAGGAGATTTTCGGCCGCTTGCAGCCTCGCCGCGGCCGCGAAGAGACCTTCGTGCACACAAACAGTGCGCGACAAGTCATTCAGTGATGCTGCTGACAGGTCATTCAGTGCTGCTGCGGGGTTCGGGCAAGACGCCTCCTCCTCCTCCTCCTCATTCTCCCCTTCCTCCTCACAGTCTGCCCGCTTCCGCCGCCAGACCATTCCGTAGCCGTCCGTGCGAGGCCGCAACCAATGTATGTAATCGACTTTGTCGTGGATGTCCCGCGTGGCAACCCGGAGGGCCGCTGCCCGCTTGCGCATGCGTTCGTACTGCTCGTACGACTGCTGCTCAACTGGCCCTGCCTCCCCCGGGATGTTGGACCCACCTAACCGCACCGCTTCTTCTTCGAGATCGAGCCACATCAGAAAGCTGCGCCCGTCGTCGCGGACGGCAGTCCACGTCAGCTCGGAGTCGAAGCGGACTGTGAATGTATACCCTCGGTCGTCTATCCAGTCGCAGCCGAGGCAGCTCCGCACTGATCTGGCCAGACTCGAGGCCTCCTCGCAGGCACTCCCTTGGGAGTCGGCGAAGGCCAGCGCCCCACCACTCGAGCCTGCTTCTGAGGGGACCAGCACATCGGCGGTCGCCAGGGCGGCGGGCACTGGGGCGGCAGCCCGAAGGGCCTGCCGCAGAAACGCCTCTGCTGCTGGCTTCTCTGCCCCCGGCACGCCTGCCCTCTCAGTACCGTGCCGCCTCCCCACCCAGGATCTCCACGCGCCATTGACGCCGACATCAGAAGCCTTCTTGGCATCGTGTCGCGACCGCCCCCAAGACTTCCATGCGCTATCGACGCCAGCATCACAGTTGTTCTTAGCATCATGCCACGTCCACCCCCAAGATTTCCATGCATGGTCGGCGCCGACATCAGAGGCATTCGCGATTTCTAGCTGCGTCCCAGCCCAGGATGCCCATGCCCAGTCGACGCCGACATCAGAGGCCTTCGAGGTTTCGAGCCGCGTCCCAACCCAGGATGCCCATGCCCAGTCGACGCCGACATCGGTGGCCGCTTCAGACAGATTAGAACCGGCATTGGCCCTACGTCTGCACCTCGACCGCTCGCCGTCGTCCTCGGCACTGGCCGCCTTCCGAAGGCGGAGCCCCTCCGACGCCGCATCTGCCCACGGATCAAATACTGGAACCTGCTGGTCAGCAAGCTGCGGACACTGCGCCATCGCGGCTCCGCCGCGACGGCCGCCACGGCGCCCGCAGCCTCCGCAGCCTCCCTGGCCTTCGCTGCGCCAGCCGCCGCTGCTGCCCTCCGGCGACTCCGCCGAGAAGCTCATTCTCGCGCTGGCGGCCTGGGGGGTGGAAGCGCCCTCTCGACTACCAGCCTGGTCCTTGGCACCCCTCCCCGTCCTTCCGCGTGGGAGGACGGGGGGGGGACGGAAAGGGAAGAGCGGGAGGCTGAAAAGGAGGCGATAGGAGGGAGAGGGGGGTCCACGGATGGGGGAGGGGGGGGCATAATAGGAAGCGGAGCGGGAGAGGGAGGGAGATGATGAAGAGCGGGCGGACGTGGACGAGGGGGAGGACAGGGAGGGGAGGAGCAGGGAGAAACTGGATGAGAAGAAGGAATAACTCGGTGGAGGACGGGAGGGGGAGGCGGGAGATGGAGTGCAAAACGACGGGGGCTGGGGTGTGTCCAAAAGATTGATGCTCCGAGGGCATGCGACCAAGAATCGCCACCTTCTGGATCACATCGGATCCGTTTGGCACTTCTGGAGCTTGAGGGCGAGGGGTGGTCGGTTAATTGAGAAATCGCAACATAATGTTGGCAAGCGTGGACCCCAGACAATCAGTCCATGGCCACATGGTGCAAGCAAAATGGTATGAGCTAATGTGGTGCAAGCTGTATGGTGCAGCGCACGTTGTGCAACCCAGGGGTGGCAACAGGGCGGCAACGGGCGGCAAGATGGCGAAATTTCGCCAGACCCACCCACCGCACGATCCAGGCGGCAACGCGAGGCAACGTGGCGAAACCTCGCCGGAACCACCCAGCACACGAAGCGGCAACAAGGCAGCAACGAGGCGGCAACGGGCGGCAACGTGGCGAAACCTCGTCGGACCCACCCAGCGCACAAAACGGCAGCGAAGCGGCAACGGGCTGCAACGTGGCGAATCCTAGACGGATCCACCCAGCGCAGAGAGCGGCAACAAGGCTGCAAAGAGGCGGCAACGGGCGGCAACGTGGCGAAACCTCGCCGGACGGAGGACGGCCGTGCTCGGGCACGGCATTATCGCCCTCCACCCGGCTGCCCGGAAGCCGCACGCGCACCAGCAGCAGCAGCAGCAGCACGCGCAGCTGCAGCGGCTCCGCCACTGGCTCCACCGGCGCCGCCACCGCCGCAAGCCGCGCCGCCCCCTCGAGCACCACCTCCATGAGCTCCGCATCAGCCGCGGCCGTGCCGCTACCCGCATGAGCAGCAAACGCCATCGCACCAGCATCGCCATGGCCCTGGCGCACTGGGAGATCGTCAACTAAGGCATCGTCGAGCTCATCATCACTAGGAGCGTCAAGGACAGCAGAGGGGGAGACCAGCATCTGCACCAAGATGGTCGGCAGCAGGCGCAGGTCGGGCGCGGCCCCATCGCCTCGCCGACCTGGGACCGTCACAAGCCACCTGCCCCACCATTGGCAACTGCTTGCCTGCTCCTCCCGCTTCCGTGCTCTTCACCTCGGCCGCCATGCTCAGCGCAGCGGGGCCCGCTGCCCCTGCGGCACGGCCGCCACGCCCGCGCCGCCGCCGCCGCTGGGCGCCCGCAGCGCCAGGCGCAGGCTCGGCAGGTGCCGCAGGGCGGCCGCGGATCTTGGCCACGGCAGCGTGCAGGAGGCCCTCGGCCGCGCGCAGGGGGCGCACCCCGTTTGGGGCGCTCGGCCGCGAGGAGCGCGCCTCGCGCGGCCTCCTCGGCGCACTTGCGGCTGGCCTCCAGGTTGAGCGTGCCAGGCATCGGCGTCCTGGCGAGTGCCGCCGCCGCAGGGGGGCACGTCCGAGCGGCAAGACGATTGAGCCAAGAATGCGCTGGAGGGGGATGATGGGAAGAGGTATAGTGGAAGGGGGAGGGCGAGGGCGAAACGGATAATGACGTGGAGGAGGAGGAGGAGGAGGAGGAGGAGGAGGAGGACGACGACGATGACGAACAGCTCGACGACGACGCCGAAGGCGCAGGCAGACCAGGAGCAGGAGGACGCGCGAACACTCTGCGCAGCCACCTTGGCTCAAAACATACTGTTTGGGGATACTAGACTCTGGCAACAACTTTACTATCTTGCGCAACTGTGTATATATATGTATACATTGACAGATGTATAGAGACAAAGACAGAGAGAGTGAGACAGAGAGAGAGAGAGAAAGAGAGAGAGTGAAAGAGAAAGCGAGCAAGACAATCAAAGGCAACAGCGGGGAATGGGGATTCCTCGCTGCAATGTCCCGGCGGAAAACCGCGTCCTCCTTCTCCTCCTCCTCCTCCTCCTCCTCCTCCTCCTCCTCCTGCCCCTCCTCCTCCTCCTCCTCGGCCTCATCAGCGCGAGCGGGTTGAAATGTGTCCTGTAGTTGCGGTTGCAGTTGCGGTTGCGCGCGCGGGCGGGCTGAAACGTGTCTTCTAGTTGCGGTTGCGGTTGCGGTTGCGGCTGCGCCCGCGGGCGGGTTGAAATGTGTCCTCTAGGCGCGGTTGCGGTTGCGATTTCGCCCGCGGGCGGGTTAAAAGGTGTCCTCTAGTTGCGGTTGCGGTTGCGGTTGCGCCTGCGGGCGGGATGAAATGTGTGCTCTGGGTGCGGTTGCGGTTGCGGTTGCGCCCGCGGGCGGGTTGAAATGTGTCTTCTAGTTGCGGTTGCGGTTGCGGTTGCGGTTGCGCCCGCGGGCGGGTTGAAATGTGTCCTCTAGGCGCGGTTGCGGTTGCGATTTCGCCCGCGGGCGGGTTAAAAGGTGTCCTCTAGTTGCGGTTGCGGTTGCGGTTGCGCCTGCGGGCGGGATGAAATGTGTGCTCTGGGTGCAGTTGCGGTTGCGGTTGCGCCCGCGGGCGGGTTGAAATGTGTCCTCTGGGTGCGGTTGCGGTTGCGCCCGCGGGCGGGCTGAAATGTGTCTTCTAATTGCGGTTGCGGTTGCACCTGTGGCCGGGTTGAAACGTGTCGTCTGGTTAATCTAGTTGCGGTTGCGGTTGCGGTTGCGCCCGCGGGCGGGGTTAAAGGTGTCCTCTAGGTGCGGTTGCTTTTGCGCTTGCGCCCGCCGGCGGGATGGAGTGTCCTCTAGGTGAGGTTCCGGTTTCGCCTGCGGGCGGTCTGAAGTGTGCCATCTAATTGCGGTTGCGGTTGCGGTTGCGCCCGCGGGCGGGTTAAAAGGTGTCCTCTAGTTGCGGTTGCGGTTGCGGTTGCGCCTGCGGGCGGGATGGAATGTGTGCTCTGGGTGCGGTTGCGGTTGCGGTTGCGCCCGCGGGCGGGTTGAAATGTGTCCTCTGGGTGCGGTTGCGGTTGCGGTTGCGGTTGCGCCCGCGGGCGGGTTGAAATGTGTCCTCTAGGCGCGGTTGCGGTTGCGGGTGCGCCCGAACGGTTTGAAATGTGCCCTCAAAAATGCCTCTCCAGTCAGTTCAGTTCAGTTCAATTCAGTTGAGTCCAGAGGGCACGGAATTTCACCCGGCTCCGCCGGGAAAAAACAAATTATCCCAGAGCGATCCTACCTAGGAGTTGGAGCCCCGAGGAGAGCAATATTAGTAGTAACGGTAAACGCCGTCCTCCTTCTTCTCCTCATCGTCGCAGTTGTAGCAGTAGCGGTAGTAGTAATAGTAGTAGTAGTAGTAGTAGTAGTAGTAGTAGAAGTAGTAGTAGTAGTAGTAGTAGTAGTAGTAGTAGTAGTAGTAGTAGTAGTAGTAGTAGTAGTAGTAATAGTAGTAATGATAATACAGCTTAATACCTACATCTACAGCTAGACCTACATCCACATCTACACATACAGCTACAGCTACATGCACATATGCATCTACACACACATCTACATCTACAACTACACTCACATCTACATCTACATCTACACCTTCAGATACACCTACATGTACATCTACATCTACACCTACACCTACATCCACATCTACATCTACCCCTACATCTAACCATACATATACGCTATGCTGCTCTATGCTGCACTATGCTATGCTATGCTAGGGTATGCTAGGCTGCCCTATGTTATGCTAGGCAATGCTATGCTATGTTATGCTGCGCTATGATATGCTATTCTATGCTATGCTACGATGCGCTATGCTATGCTATGTTGTGCTGTGCTGTGCTATGCTACGCTAGGTCATGCTATGATATGCTATGCTGCGCGATGCTATGCTATGATATGCTATGACATGTTGCGATGTGCTATGTTATGCTATGATATGATATGCTATGCTGCGCTGTGATATGCTAAGCTAAGCCATGACATGCTATGGTATGATGTGGTATGCTGCGCTATGCCATGCTATGCTATTATAGGCTATACTATGCTGCGCTATGATATGCAACGCTATGCTATGCTATGATATGATGTGCTATGCTATGCTATGCTATGATAATGATGCGCTGCGCTAAGCTAAGCTAAGCTGAGCAAGGCTAAGCTAAGCTAAGCTAAGCTAGGCTAGGCTAGGCTAGGCTAGGCTAGGCTAAGCTCAGCTCAGCTAAGCTAAGCTAAGCTAGGCTAGGCTGAGCTAAGCTAAGCTAAGTTAAGCTAGGCTAAGCTAAGATAAGCAGCGCTAAGCTAAGGGGACGTAACTAGGGGAACCGCGGGGCGGATACCGGGGGAACCGCCCTGGCCGTTTCCACTGCCCGGCCCCTTTTAAGAAAGAGAGTAAGAACCCTCTAGGCAGAGCCTAGGTAGGGAATAAACCTGAGCTAAGATGAAGCTGAGCTAAGCTAAGATGCAATAAGCTAAGCTAAGATGAGATAAGCAACGCTAAACGAAGGGGACGTAACTGGGAGAACCGCGGGGCGGATACCGGGGGAACCGCCCGGGCCGGTTCCCACTGCCCGGCCCCTTTAAGAAGGAGAGTAAGAACCCTCTAGGCAGAGCCTAGGTAGGAAACAAATTTTAAGGACGATGATAAAACACCGAAGACGAACAGCCATACGGGACTCGGACTAATTTCAATTCACTGCGCCCGATCAGTACTGGCCATTTGGGCCGCGCGGCGGCTGGGATCAAACAGTGGGCTGACTGGAAAACAGGTCGTCTCGATTTGAAATTTCGAAAATGAGGCCTGGGCCAGGGACCACGACTGGACAGGATGCACCGCGTGTCTCCCTGGGCCTCCTCGGCCAAGCGCGCCTGTCCGCGACCGCAAATCGGCGGCACCGAGGCGGGGCCGGCAGGACTTCCACCCTGCTCGGGCCTCAGGCCCCCTCGAGCCAGTCTGGCAGCTGCCGGAAGGGAGCGAGGGAGCAGGAGGGGCAATGGACAGGGAAAGGGAAGATGACTCCTGTTCCTCTGCCGCATCCTACCCCTGCTCTCCCGGGGGACTCGAAGGGGCAGCGCGAACGCCCCCCAAAACGGCACTAGAGACCGCCAGCAGGCCATCATAGATTCAATTGGTTTGAATATGAGTGTTCTCCAGCCGAATACTGATGAAGGTGTCTGAGGCGGGACAGTATACCGAGCGGGCGCTTGAGACTAGAAGGTGGCATGCTGCACATGGTGAACACATTGTGGGACGTAAGCAAGCAACAACAGTGCGTCTACACCGTTCATTGGTTGAGCGGTGTGACCAGCACTGTGGCACATTCGCCTTTGGATGCAAACACTTGTACAGAATGTTACCAAACATCTCAAACGAACCCTGTACGAAGCCTGAGGGAATGCACGGTCTCGGAATAGACCCCCTCACAGCCAGACAACCAAATCTAGCTCGACGCTCGTTTCGCGGTCTGTTCTATTCTGGCTTTAGCGCCCAAGACTGTCACAAGACGGCTCAACCATTGTGTATATAAACAGCCCAAGGCTGTCGCAAGTGCGCTTAGAACGCCTCCAAGACGACCCCATGGCGCCCCAAGATGGCCCACCGTGGCCCCAAGACAGCCCACCAAGAATAGCTAAGATCCTACAAGAGAGCCCCCCCCCCTGCGGCTTCCAACGCTCCCAAGGAGCTAATCATGACCACCCAACGCTTCCAACGCTTCCGTGGCTCCAAGGCTCCCAACGCTTCCAACGCTCCCAAGGACCTATCTCCACTCCTTGTCATTCTCCTCCTTCTCCTTCCAGAAACTAGCGAGGGTTGGGCCGACGGCCACTGGTTACCTGCCACTCTGGAAGCCTTCGGCATCCCCCGAATAACTCTGAGAAGACAAAGATGTTAGTCTCCACGGTCACCGTGACAATCTTCCAGAGCAATCCTTTGCCGAGTCCAGAAATTCGACAAGTGCTCGAAAACCATGAGCATCGTCGCGCAGCTGCTCCTGCAATTCCAATGCATTCCAGGCTCGTTGATGCCGCTCGGGCTATCCAAGCATATTGTTTTGCGCTGTCGGGATGCTGACGAGATCTGCCGCCAGAAGCACGATGGGGAAGATGCAACTATCTCTGTGTATGGTTGACTTTCAGTCCATGGCCCATGCTGTCGGTCAGTACCCTGCCCTTTGGGGAAGGTGACCCTCTGCAGCACGTGGCCACCACATACGGATTCAAAAGTATTGCTGGTCCTCCGACACTACGGCGGCATCAAGGCCGCCGCAAGCCCTCCTTGCTTTCGCAGGAGCCCGAGAACTACTTGCGGGGCCCAGGCCCCACGCTTTCCGCGTCTTCCGCACGCACGCGCGCCCCGCGGCCCGTGGGCCCACGGGCCCCCTCTGCCCCTCGGCCTGCGGCGCTTGGCCGCGCTTCTCCACCTCTGGACTCTGGATCCCGCTGCCTCTCCGCTGTGCGCCTGCTGCTCCTCCCTCACCTCTGCGCGCACCTCGTGAAGCCTCCCCTGTGGCCGTGATTCCTCCATCTGGGCACCCCTGGAGCCCTCGGACGCTTCGCGGGGACTGGTCCGTTTCCCAAGTCGCCTTTGGGCGCTCTTGGGGCCCTCCCTGGAAACGACACCCGAGGGTGGCAAATTGCGAAGGACTTTGGCTTGCCGTCTTAGAAATCGTTCGACTTCTCGTTCGAAGATGTTAGACGCCTGGGGGTGAGGCCTCCCGCCGAGGGCCACGGCCGACCGCGCCCTCGCCGCCTGCGCCTGGGGCGCAGCCTGAGCCTGGCAGAGCATGGACTTCCCACAAGACTTCCCAAACCGACGCTGCCGGGGCGCTCTGAGAGCGCGGGAGGACTTCATTTGAGATCGCTAAGCGCAGTCTCGGGGACCTGTCGGGGCTGGTAGACGAGCTGGTGTACGCGGACGACACGCTCATCGTCGCGAGCGCTCCCGAGCACGCAGAGCAATACATGAAGGCCGTGGAAAGGGCGGGCGCCAACTACGGCCTCGACTTCCAACTGGGGGAAGCTGGAAATCTTATCCGTGGGCAGCGATGCTGTTATTCGCCGGCCGGACGGGGCCGCCATCTCCCTGAAGACAATCATCGTCTACCTCGGCTCCGTGCCCTCCGCAGACGGGACGATGAAAGCTGAATTGGGCCGACATTTAGGGCAAGCGCGAACAAAATTCGACTTGTTGTGCCGTGTTTGGAACCGCAGCAGCATCCCCGTGAACAGGAACATACTCGTATATGAAGCGTGCGTGCAGACAAAACTGTTGTACAGCCTGCACACGTCGTGGTTTAAGCTGGACGAGCTGGCGCGCATCGACGCCTTCCAAGCAAGGTGCTTGCGAAACATCTTAGGCATCCAACATTCGTACGTCAGCCGAGTGTCGAATGAAAGCGTGCTGACTCGCGCGCGCCGGATGAAGCTCTACAGCGTTATTTTGCAGCGTCAGCTCATGTAGTTTTTTAATGTGGTTTGTAAGGGAGATGATCACCCTTTGCGTTCAGCTATTTTCAAACCGTCCTCCCTTGACCTCCGCCCCCCCTCCGGCAAGCGGAAGAGAGGCAGACCGCGACAGATGTGGTCCGCCGAGTTGTACAAACTTGCAAGTGATGTATGTGCCAATCTTGAGGTTTCAATTGACCGGTTACGCACAATCCCAGTTCGAGATTGGAAGCAGGCTGTGCGTTCATTCTGCTTGGCGCGTTAAGTGCGCCATATTGCTTCTGTGCCTTCTGACACACGGCTTTGACTAACTGACTGACCCCAGGAGAACGCGAGGTAAAACCCAAGACCCTATCTTGGTGTGTGGGGGGGGGCTACATTCCTTCGAAAGGCCTCTGAGGTGCTCCCTCCCCTCCAGAGCGGGATGCGGGAGCAGAGAGATACCGATACCGCGACTCCCCAAGCATATTCTCCCGCGGTGCGTTCTGGCTGGGATTTCTGGCCGAGTCCAGCCGTGGCGACGAAGTGCCGGGCAGCAGCATCGGTATCTCCTCGTCTGAGGGGAGGACGAGGAGGAGGGGGATCATCGTCGTCGTTGTCGAATGTCGGATGAGGCGTCTGCCGTTCTCGGACCTCTGGGGGTGGGCAAGGGTGGCGCAAAGTACCGCTTCCGCCACCCTCCACCCCGAGCCCTCTGTGACCCCGAACCCAGCCGATTGTCGAAGAATGCCTTCAGCCGACGCCCCCAGGATGGCCGAAGGGGGCCTCGGATTTGCTGAAGCGCAATGCCGATGGAGCATCAAGCCTGTCGGCTGGGGGCGGCGCGCAACTCGCAGAAGATTGACGCACACAGCAGCCCTGCACGGGTGCCACACGTTGGGCCACGGCCCAGGGGGGGGGGGGGAGGGAGGGAGGGACGGGGAGGAGGCCCGCGCGCCTCGAAGTTGCCGCGGGTGGAGTAGGCGCCCAGCTGCGTCTGGAGCGGGCGGGCGCCCACGCTCGCCCGCGCTCGCTCGGCTCGCTGGTGCGCACGGGGGAATTGGAAGGGGGAGGGAGGAGGATAGGAGGGAGGATGAGAAGGGGACGCGGGGAAGGGGGAGGGGGAGGGCAGGCAGGCAGACCCTCTCCTACCTGCTGCCTTCTTCGGCTGCGGCAACAAGAAGCGGACCAGGAGGAAGGACAACTATCCCATGCCCGAGACTCTGTTGTTATTCAAAAGGGTCCACGAGGTCTTGACCCCGTGAGTGTGCGCGTGGTGGGGCCCAGATCGCCCTAACGAGTCAACGGCCCCCACCCATTCCCACCCTCGCTCACAGAACATAGTAAGGACTCGCGGAACATTTTGAGATCGCAATTGGAACAGACTACAATCTGACGAACGGACGGAGCCCGCACGCGGTCCCGCTTCCGACCGGTGGGCGAAGGAACAATTACACCTGAGAAAACCCCAATCAGTGGATGATTTGAAAATTGATATTACGGATCTTGAGATCGATTATGAGATCGATAATGAGATCGATAGTGGAATCGATGGTGAGGACGATTGTAAGGTCGATCGTGAGACCGAGAACGAAATCGATTCAATGAGATCGATAATGAGATCGATCGCGAGATAGCTCATGCGATCTCTAGTGAGATCGCTTGGGAGATAGATAGTGGGATCGATTGTGAGATCGATAATGAGATCGATCGAGAAATCGGTCATGAAATCGATGGTGAGACCGATCGATAAAAAAATCGACCAAAAACCCGGAAACCTGGGAACCTCGCCGCTCTCCGAAATCGGCCCGGAACCCGGAACCGGGAACCCGGAAACCCAGAACCCAGTCTGCCACCAAAATCGGCGGGGAACTTTCGCCAAATCCTTCAACATGCGCGAGGACCCCTTCAGTGCAAGCACTGATTGGGGAACTACGCGGGCCCCGCAAGGGCCGGAACGGCAAACCATCCGACGAGCGCGCGGCGAAGATGAAGCATGCGCTGGGCCGACCCAACACTGTAACGTTTAAGCCAAAATTTCACGGCGCGCATTTCGCTCGCTGATGACAGCATTTCGCCCGCTCTCGCGCGGCCCCGTTGCCGCAGCGCTTTCATGGGCTTCGCGGACCAAACATGCGCCGCGCCTGCAAGGAACGCCACTTCCAAGCGAAATGTGCACGGAACGCGGGCGAGGGCGACACAGGGCCCGCCTGCGCGGGGCAACAAATCTGGGCAAGTGAGAATATATGCGCCGCGCCAGGGCGGAAGCGCCACTTTCATGCGAAATCTACATTCTCGTCCTCTCGCGCGTCCACGAAACGGCGTCCGAAATATGTGCGCCGCGCCCCAGCGGGAGCTCGATTCTCTGGAAACATGAGTGCGGCGCCGAAGCGAGAGCGACATTTCGCCCTCTCGCGCGGAATGCGCACCACGTCCCATTCCTGCCACGCATGTTGCGACGTGGGCCACAAGACGTCCATGCTGAGAGCAAAGGCGTCGACATTGTGCTGTTGTTTGACAGGGAGGGTGGGCCCCTCCGATCGTCCGGCTATGGGCTGGCTAGGTGGCGAAGTAAGAGAGTATACGAAGAAGGAAATCCTTGCGACGAGCCCCACCCATGTTCACGACGTGAAAAAGAACAATGTGCCACACCATTGCGGATGATGACATGGCAAGGAACCAGATTTCTTGTGGAAGATCAGCGGGGAACCCGAGTGTTACACAACCCACTCGGACGTAGGACCTTAGGGGGAGGTGTAGAAGAGAGGCGGGAGTGTGGAAGCAAGATGTGGAACATGGCACGCAGTGCTTGGCAGAAATGGACCTCCAAGGAGCCCGAGAAAGCGGCGACATGTTCTCAGTTCGCAGCCCCCAGTCACGAAGAGGCTTCAAATAAGACGTCATCCCGCTGGACCTCTCAGTACACACAGGTCGCCTTCTGAACCAACTCGACCTCTTCGCATAGCTGAATATAAGTCATCGCCCCGCTGGACCTACCCCAGGAACGTGGCGATAGTTTCGCGGCTCGCAGCGGGCAGCGATGGCGAGGTGTCATCTGAACTGACTGAAACTTCATTCCGCTGGACGTCCCAAGACCACACGAGAGCGTCGATAGACTCGCAGCTCGCAGCCCCCAGCTGTCGACGGCGAGGTCTCATCCAATCTGAATGAGCGTCATCCCGCTGGACCTCTCAACAGCCCTCGAACGCGGCAACAATTTTGCAACTCGCCCCCCCAAGGATGGCGAAATCTCGCTCTGCTGCAAAGCGCCGCGCCACGACGGCCCCCAACAACAGCCCATGAAAATGGCGACACCGCCGCACCTCGGAACCCACAGGGACGACACAGTCCCGTTCTGACCTGCGCATCGCATCACTAAGATGGTCCCGTTAGAAACACGCAGAAGTGGACACCGTTTGGCAGTCCGCACCCTGCCCCCCACAGGGATTGCGAGGTCGAATGTGAGTCCGCATGTGACGTTAGTGCGATGGGCCTCGCAGCAGCCTTCGAAAATGGCAACAGTTTCGCAGTTCGTAGCCCACCAAGGCTGGCGAGGTTTAGCCTGGGTTCGTATATGAAGGCACTGCGCTGCCCTCCCCCAGCAGCCCTCGAAAGTGGCGACAATGTCGCAGTTCGCAGCCCCACAGAAAGTGGGTAGGTACACTTGCGCAGTTCGCAGCCCCACGTGACTGCGCTGGGGTCTCCAGCAGCCCTGGCAAGTGGCGACAGTTTCGCATATCGCAGCCCCCCCAAAGGCCCCAAGGGTGGTGTGGTGATCTGGGTCCGAGTACAACATCACCGCGCTGGCCCCGAAAGAGCCCTCGACAGTGGCGACGGTTTGCCAATTCGCAAGCCCCCGTAGATGGCGAGGTCGAATATGAGTCTCTGTGCGTATCACATCACTGCGCTGGGCCCAGCAACAACCCTCGACAGTGGCGACAGTTTCGTAGTTCGTCACCCCCCCCCCCACCCCCTCACAAGGATGGCGAGTTCTAGCCTGAGTCCGCGTATGGTGTCAATGCGTTGAACGCCCCACCAGCCGTCAAAAGTGGGGACCAATTCGCAGTTCGCAGCCCTTCCATGAGATGGCGAGGTCCATTTCAAGTCTGCGTATAACGTGACTGCGCTGGGCCATCTGTCACCCGTCGAAAGCGGCGTCAGTTTCGCAAATCTGAACCCTCCCAGGGATGGCGACGTCGAGTCCGAGTCCGCGTGCGGCGTCACTGCGCTCGGCCCCCATACGAACGAAGCAGCCATACGCCAAAAACGCGAGGGCAAGGACAGGCAGAGCGACACGCCAAATGCGCGCAACAAAAAGTTACGTCAAGCAGCCTGCCGAAGTGCAGAGACACAAAATTCAACATAGCAATACAAAGCGCCCGACTGCGAAGCAGAAACAGAAAAAGCAGAGCGCCCCACGACTGTGAAACACAATGCCTTTTTTTCACTGCTAATCATCGGTGCGAGCCCGGCCTGGGATGACATTGCCCGCTGTCGCCGGACAGCTGATGCGATGCGAAATCCCATGAAAACGCATCGGCTCCACCTGCGAGGAGGAGGGGGAGGAGGAGGAAACAACCAATGCGAATGTATGAAATTATTCGTCTACGCTGCACAAAGAAAATGCGCAACGAATTCAGACCATGAGTTTTCGTCAGTGAGGCGACGCATCAAGGCGGATCCAGAACAGAGGCAATGGCGAATCTTATTGCATAGGCACTTTGCCCATTCGTGTCTTGGGTGCCCGGGCGCCCGCGCGCACAGGTCAGCGACCGGTTTCGCAATATCTAATTGAAAAATCAATATCCTCAAAACATCTGCACCACTTGCCCGTCCTTTCCAAACTATGCCAATTGATGCTTTCCTCGTCGAGAACTGCACGGCTGCGCCCCGGCTTTTTCCAGGGCGGTTTTGATGGACATCGCGAGATGTAAGAGTGGGTTGCATTGAGAAGTTGCCGTAGACAGCGCGCTTGAAATCCATCCAGTCTCCTCCTTTCTTGTTTGTTCACCCAAGCTGAGCTTCAATAATACATGACTTTGCTTGTAATGAGCGCCCCGAACACTTCGAGCTTTCTCCGCGCACTGACTGCGGTGTGTTTCCATGCTCTAGCACATCGTTGAAATTCTCCCCATGCGGTCCCAACCTCTTGCTTAATTCGTGCTTGGGTTTCCCATCGCTGTAAATAGAAGCACCCAACTACTGTATTTTTTCCAACTTGCTTTGATGATATTGCCATTTGGGTCTCGCAAGCTGATGCCGCATCCAATTTGAAGCAATTGGAATTTGTTCCAATGTATTTCCACGCCAATTTCTGCACCAGCTTCCGCGATCGCGTCCAAGACGCGCTGCAAGCAAGTCTCGCGTTTACCAGCCAGAAGGGTATCATCGGCACACAGAAGCATAGATGTTTCCCCATCCCACAATGATCGGAGCGCGTCTTCTCCCAGTTTGTCCTCTGCGCGCTTGATTACGACACTCGTGGCCATCTCAAACAGACAGGGTGAGAGTGGGCACCCCTGGGCCATGCCAGACATTTGTTTCCGCGCCTGGGACCTCTTCGAACCTTCTGCCACGCAAGAACTTCTGTTTTCACGCACGCGACCACCGATGCGAAGCACGTTGTCTGGCACGCCAGATTCCCACAAAACTTCCAAAAGAGCTGGGGCTTCAATAGAACCAAACGCCCTTTTCCAGTCCAGGGCCAACAAAACAATTCTCACATCTCGCCGTGCATGCGCAATTTCAACATGCCGGCGCACGGCGCGCGCAGCGTCAGACGTGCCCCGTTTTCCTCTGAAGCCAAATTGGGTTGACGTCAGCCGTTCTTCTGCACCTGCGCGTTGAAGTTTCCCAAGCAAGCTTGCACGCAGTTTGCGCACGACGCAAAGCAAACTGATAGGGCGGCAGTTGTCGCATTGATCGACGGGGCCTTTGTTTTGTACATGGTCGATACAAGAGCGCGTCGCCATTCTGACGGTATTTGCTTCGTTGTCC